AATGTATTACTTAGCTTTAATTTGAGTATGTTTTTCGCGTTGGAACGAATTATTTGGTTTTACATGTAATCGTATGGGAAAAGATGATCCACCTTACGACATTTTCATGATACGATCTCAGTTTCGGAACGGATTAATTTCGTATCCTGAGGTACCACTATACATATAATTTGTACAAAATATACATATAGATAATTACATATCATTACAGTGATGCGAAAATAAGTGATATGAGATGCTAAGGTTAGTAATACAGTTATAAAAATACATAATATCAGGATGATGTGCAATAAAGGCACAGAACACAGTAAGTGAGGTTTCAGTTGAAAGCAGCAACAGTAGTCCTTTTAAAGTACAGTACATGTCAATGAGGTGAAGTAGTGCAGCATAGGTGTCACTATTGTTCATAATTCCGTGGAGGTTTTCAGGCCAGTGATAACCATGTGTCTCCATGGAGGTGCAAAGAAGGGGTCTCTCAAGCTCAAGCATTGGGCAGGTGAGTAGATAGTGGAGGCAGCCGTCTTCGACATCGCAAAGGGAACAGCTGAAGGTTGGAAACAATCTAACAAATCTATTTAATCAAACAATTTAACAAATCTAGCCAAGTAGGAATAGAAGCGTCCGTGATTGGTAAGAAATTGGCTGGTACATTGGGTTGGTCTATACCAGGGGATAGCAAAGAAGGTCTTGATGTTAGGAATGAGTTGATGGGTGATGGGATGATTTTGTCTGTCCCAGTCCTCCTGTCAAAGATTGAGGTGGTCATTGCGGATGATGTTTTTTATAGTTTTAATATTGATCTTGCTGTAGACAATTGGAAGGTTGTTGTCTTCACAGGCGCTCTTTGCGAGTTCATCGGCCCTCTCGTTACCGAGAGTGCCCTGGTGGGCATGAGTCCAGTAGATGAAGTAAATGTTGCTGGATTTGTTGATGTCACTATGGATGCTGGTGGAGATGGGGTAGTCACAATGGTTTTTTAACGCTGCAATAGAGGACTCGCTGTCGGTGATGATAGTAACAGTCTGGGAATCATAGTTCGAGGCAGTCCAAGCCACGGCCATGCTTATCGCGTACATTTCCGCCCGAAAGACAGTACAGTCTGCACCAAGTCTGTACCGCTCAGACGCAATTTCGGTGTTGTTTAGGTAGGCGACAAAACCGCTACCAACATTATTGTTACATTTAGACACATCAGTATAGACTGTTAAATCGGTATGCTCAGGCTGGAAGAAGTTTAATTTATTAGGGATAGCTGGGTGATTGGAACGAGAGAAGTGGATGGCGCACTCGAGGTCATGATGGTTAATTTCCTGTGTAGCTGTATGGATAGTGCTGCCCCATTTAAGATGCCAAACTTTAGTTTGTAAGGAGATATGTTTGTCAATGGGCATTTTTCTTGCCAGGACTTGAAGAGAGGAGTTGGGTGTTGTTCTATAGGCCCTTGTAATGTGCAAGAGGGCTTTGCATTGTGCGGCGATGAGTTTTCTTTTAATGTGAACCCTGCAGGTAGACCATCCCCAGCTGCCACAGGCATAAGTAATTATGGAGAAAAAGATTTGGTTGTAAATGGCATCCATGGCCTCAGAGGCCAGGCCCCAGCGTCTACGAGCAATGCCAGCAAAGGTGTTGAAGATGTGTCCTGTGCGCTTGGTGATGTATTCAACGTGAGCATTCCACAGCAGCCTGTGGTCGAGTACAATGCCCAGGTACTTGATGGTCTTTTCAACGGCAATGGTTTGTCCCCCCATTTTAATGGTGGGGACTCTAAGGTAAAGATTCTGCTGGCCAGGTCTATTAAAAACGACACATTTAGTTTTTTGTGCGTTAAAGGAGTGACACCACAATGAGATCTTGCACAACCTCAAAATCTTCCTAGGGCAGAAGTTTTCTTTCCAATTCAGCCCAGGTGCAAAAACCATTGCCACTGCTGTCTTAGAAGAAGAGCATGGGCACTCAAACAGCTGGCTAGCCACAAGGCCCCAGGAGTCGATGGAATACCAGCAGAGTTACTGAAACACTTACCATTAAAAGTTTTGAGAGCACTGTACCATAGTGTATGGAAGAATGGCCAAAGGATTGGAAAAGATCTATTTTTATCCCCATACCAAAGAAGGGAGATATCAAAGATTGCTCCAACTATTGCATCATCGCTCTGATTTCACACGCTAATAAGATTCTACTGAAAATTATTCAACAGCATATGTACAGTACTCAACCATAGACACAGAGATGCCAGATGTACAGGCATGTTTCCAAAAAGGAAGAGGAGCACGTGATCTTATCACTAATCTTCGTAGGATGATGGAAACAGCGAGGGAATACCAAAAAGATCTATATATGTGCTTCATTGATTATTCAAAGGCTTTCAATTGTATTGACATGACAAATTGTGGAAGTGCTTCAAGGAAATGGGAATCGCACCACATCTTACCCAGGTCTTAGAATCATTATATACTGGACAAGAAGCCACTGTAAGAATGCCATATGGTGATACAGACTGGTTCAAGATCAGAAGGGTACCTGCCAGGGCTGTATCCTTTAACCATCACTATTCAATCTGTATGCAGAGGTGGTGATGAGGAAAGTAACATTGGAGTGAAAATTGGAGGCAGGAACATCAATAATCTCTGATATGCGGATGATACCACATTGATTGTGGAAAGTCAGGAAGAGCTTG